CGGCCCCCTCCGCCGCCCTGAGGAGCCGGCGCCGCGCGTCCGGGCCCGGCGGCGCGTTCGGGCTCTGCGCGGGTGGCCGCGGGCACGAGCGCCCGGTGCTCTGCGTGGCCTTGGGTGCGGGGTGCACGAACCGCCGAGCCTCCCTGAGCCCGGCTGGCCTCCGCTGGCTTGCTCTGGAGCAACAGCGGTGGCAAAATCAGCCGGGTAGGCTTTTTTACCTGGATGAGACGTTTTTCCTGGTTCTTTTCAAGTTTAGGCGGGATCACATCTCTTTCATGTCCTCTCGTAGCTTGCATAAACACCTGATTAGGTCTTGTAACCAACTCAGCAGTAATGTGATCGTGTACTTTGTGTGTTTCGGGTCCAGCCTGTGCTGCCAGATGGTTTGGAGCTGCTCACACCTATCAGGCTTTAAACCAACTCCATAATTTGCAAGTACTGTTGTGGCATATGTCTCTGTTTCCTAGTTCAATCTAGCCATCAGATTTTAACACTAAAACTGTGACACAATAGTCCCCGCATGCAGTTGTCCCTGCACTGTAACAGCTTCCTAGATCCATGACAGATTTATACTGAGAGAGTCAGATGAGTTGAAATCCTAACAGCTGGTTTGTGTTCAAATTAGTGATTCAGTGAAGAGCTGGGTACTCCCATAGATCTGTCTAAATTAGTTTCAAACCAGCTAGGGCAGCAGTTGTTGCCAACAGGACACCGTTAGAGACTCAGGCTGCAAAATCTCCTGGGAACTGAGTGCCAAACTGCTGGAACTCACGCTAGCAGGACTCCCTTGCTTATCACAGTACAGCTTCTCTTCTGATCGTGATGAGTTTTTTCTGCTTGGGCTAAAAATAATGTTAAAAGTGAGTTTAAACTTGTATTAATTTTCTGGTTTAATACCTACAAAAAGTTTTAAAAGTGAAGAAATCGTAAGAGGGTGAGAGTGAGTGGTGGGTGGAGATGGGTGGGGTGGGCTGCACGTGCTGGAGTTGACGTAAAAAAATGTTCATCAGACTAGGGCTTTTGAAGCCTGAAATCATATATTCAGCTTTATTGCACACTGTAGAGGAAAATCTTTTAAAAATGTTTCATTTTCTAAAACTAAAAGATGAGAAAGGGGGGAAGCATGCAGCAGATCCTGTGGCATTTTGTGACAGAGATGGGAAAGAAATTGGAGATATCTAATGCTGACAGATGTTCTTTGCATTCAGTTATACTGCTGATAGGCAGTATAAGGATATCATGCTGCTACTGTACTGATTCCAAATGTACGTGGTACCTAAATATACCAAGGTGCTGAAATAAACTATATTATTTTTAGTGCTGATACTGTTGTAATATAACCCTATGGGGCAGTGACGGAAGGGAAAGAAGAAGGTGGGGGGCTTGAGGTCTTGCCTTCTCTGCTTCCTCCTGCTTCCCAAGCCTGGCTACTAGGCTTGTCAGGAGAAAGGGTCTGTGGGTCCTGGGCTACAGGAGCGTGAACAAGGGAATTATTTTGGCTTGGTGACTGAAAACTGGGAATTGGAAGAAGAGGAGATGGTCACAGTTGAGGTCCCTCTGTGACTTGCACACTCAGCTGAAGAGTTTCATAGAGAATTCCTGGCCCTACTCTCTCCCACAGCACGCTTCGGATAAGAGAGCATTAATGAGGGGAGAAAAGGAGACTTCCATCTCCCATCACACACCCCTCAAGCCTTGCTAACTTCTTAAAGCTTCTGTTCTGATGTTTGATGATGTTACGGAATTTCTTTTGAAGTCACTATCATAAAGGCATTGACCATTGCTGTGTCGCACACGCTCAGGGTTTTATGTTTCTTTAATTGCAGTCTGACAGCTTTGAGCAGAGGTATAATTTACCTAGCTTACCTGGATAAAAATTATATATTGTATAAAAAGCAACAAAGAACAGTTTTATTTGTTCGACAAATTTTGAGATAGCTTCAAAGAGTCTTCGTCTTTTCCTATGTATAATGGAAATCAGTGGATTTCTAAAAAGGAAATTGTTCTTGACGTTCTAGTGTTCTCATGATGTGCTTGTAGTAGTACTCTAAAACCAAAACAAAATCATGATCAAGTAATCCCTCTAACTTCAGCATCGTTAGGAGTATGCATATATTAGTCAGTGTGGCAAGATGATTACAAATGTTTAGAAATTTAAAAAGTTCAAGAAATTAAGATAAATAATTCTTCTTGGCCTGTCCACCTAATTATCACAAATACCTTTTAACTGCAAATTGTTCTCACACTCATGTTCATCTTTTTTTGTGAATTTATGATGCAGGCATTATCGGAAGCGCTCTGCGTCACGTGGACGGTCTGGTAGCCGTTCTAGAAGTCGCTCTCCATCTGACAAAAGAGGAAAACGTGGAGAAGACAG